CACCATGTTGGCCAAGCTGGTCTCGAACTTCTGACCTCAAGTGATCCACCGGCCTCAGCCTCCCAAAGTGCTGGGATTACAGGTATGAGCCATGGCACCCAGTCCTTATATTATTTTTTTAAAAAGTGAATAAATGAAAAGTTACATTTCTTTAAAATTATTACCTAAATTTTCTTTATTTATATATGGTTCCCTACTAATATTTTGCTGTGGAATCTGAAAAAAAATTTTGCCATCTACTTTTCAAATGATAAAGAAATAGGTAAACTAGAACACAAATAAGCTCTTGACCCTAAGTTCCTGCCACATACTAAGCATTGAATAAATGGCAATTCTTTTGACTGATTTTAGAGAAACCTACTCTGGTATTCTCTCTGATGTAATAAGTATACATAAGCAGTTGTACCTGCAGGAGGTGGCAGGTCATTACACCTGGACTGAGCCTTGGAGATCCTGGCCCTTTATTCTGCACATGAGAAAATGCAGATTTGGGAGGCTCTTGATGTTTACAAAGTCTCATGGCTGCTACATGGCGCAGCTCAAAAGCTGACACGGAGAAATGCAAAATTTCAACGCATACAGTAAAAAATGTTAGGTTTCATGATATCTTTTACAAATGAAATCTTTTTTTAAAAATTATTCTCTTGAGAAATTGGATTCCAGGACCCTAAAGAACTCTGCAGTTCTTTTCTCAAACACACATGCTTTTTAGAAGCCTGGTTATTTGAAACAGCGGAGCTTACTTTTTGGTCGATGTATTTGTTGTCCTCAATTGCTGAGCGTTTGGAGTGGTCGCAGGACGAGGAAGAGGTGGAAGGGAGGCTTCTCAGGAGACAACATGTGTCCTGTTGCTGGCGGTCGATAAACTGCTTCATAAAACTCTCCCTTTGCAAATGAAGTATACGCACATCAGGCATTATTAATGGAATGGAGCAAGTGATAGCATTTTGCAATGATAAGTTTGCTTGAGCAAAGATAAAGCAATGACAAAAGATCATAGACAACTAGACCATGACGAAAATATTTCATTAGCAATGGCTTCCTAGAAACTCAGTGACTCCTGCTTAAAAAGCAAAACCCTTGAAATAACTTTCAAGCAATATTACTCAGTAACTGATGGTAGTTTTTTGAATCTGTTTTTTTTTTTTTTGAGATGGAGTTTCACTCTTGTTGCTCAGGCTGGAGTACCACAGCACAATCTTGGCTCACTGCAACCTCCGCCTCCCGGGTTCAAGAGATTCTCTTGCCTCAGCCTCCAGAGTAGCTGGGATTACAGGCATGAGCCACCACACCTGGCTAATTTTTTTTTTTTTGGTGGGGTTGGGGTTTCTCCATGTTGGTCAGGCTGGTCTCGAACTCCCGACCTCAGGTGATCTGCCCGCCTCAGCCTCCCAAAGTGCTGGGATTACAGGTGTGAGCCACCGCACCCAGCCCAGTTTTTGGAATCTTATTGTGGTAATAAAACACCTTTTTTCCCCTCTAAGACTTGGAAGAATTAGTTGCTCTCTCTAAATGTCCATTTCTCATAAGAATGATTAAGAGAGAATTTTACATTTTAAGACTCAAAAGCAAGTGCCTTCATCTGATCTTCAAAGCATAATGAAAATTCAAGTAACGTCTCTTCGAATTACCAAATTCAATTAATTTTGTTTTTTAACATTAGAAATGCAAATATATTTCTATCTGAATTTTAAATATTATGGCACCACATCCAGTCTCATACTTTTATAACCCTCCACAGAATTATTTTTAAAATTAGTAACATATTACTATAATTCTATTTGTAATTTCTTGAGCTATAACTAGAAGAATTTCCTTTTATTATTAAAAATAGGTGTTTAAAGCATCTTTTATGCATTTGCTTAACTGGAGGGCAAACATGGTAGAAAATCAAATTAGTATGAGTGGAGAAATGCCATGGTTCTTCTTTTAAAAAGTGGAAGACAAATTATATGGTAACCTGACATGGTAGGCTAAATACATGCTGTAGTAGTACACAAACTGGGCCAGCTGTGGTTTCTCTGTTTGCTTGAAGATAAAAGGGCCACAGAGGCAATTTTAGTCTTATATGGTTGGGGTCAGAGATGGATGTCTACCTGCCATCCCTGCAACATTGAACAGCTTCTCCAGTTTCCTGGGCCGTCCCATTCCCGAGGAGTCATCCCAGAGAGAAGCGATGGCAAGCAGCCTTCTTGCTTAGACTACTGCAGTTATAAAGTGACTCTTCTCTGAATACATTGCTTAAAAGGTCAAAGTTGTTTGTTTATTTATTTTTTAAAAATAGAGGTAGAGGTAGTAGAAAGATAGGTAATAACTTAAAATAGAAAGACACCCAACCCACATATACTTAAAAGAAGGGTTAAATGAGGCTTAAGATGGTGAATCTTTTACGATGTATGTGACACACGCAATTAAAGGAATACTTTGGTACCTGATTTTAGGAACTGTAAAATCTGAAGGAAGCTTTGAGATTTTCACCATTTGTGGTCTGTTTGGAAATTTTTCAAAGATTCGCAGGCGCAAAGGGAGCTTTTCTTTGGTGTCTGCATTTGCTTCACTTTGCTTTAACTAAAGAAAAAATGGAAAGAAGAAAAAAGGGGGAATCTATAATACTATTATACATGTTACACAAAATTAATTTTAGAATGGAAGCAATAATAAGTAATTACATGAAATGCCAGTAGATGGCAGCGAAGGCCTACCAAGTATATGACTCCTACCCGAAATAAATTGCTCCATGAGCTAAAACTTTTGAGTTACAGAAATAAACAAAAATAAAACTTAACAACAACAACAAAAAACTAAACCGGAAAAAAAATTCAAGGAAAACGTTATGTTATTTTATTCCCAAAGAGAAGCCTCTTTTCATCTCAGACATTTTGAATGGTTTACTATTACTTGCATATTTAAACAAAAAAATTTGTTTACACACGTATAAAGCTAGAATTAAAAATTTTAAAAAACATGAAAAATAAAAAAAAATTAACTACAGAATCATACCAAGTAGCATTTGTAAAGAGAGACAGTGGCAAGACAATTGGTTATGTCATCTAGCAGATTAAAACAGAAAAGCTCAAAACAGAACCACCACCTTTGGTCCATGCAGCGAGTTTTCTATTTAGCTGCAAACATGTTTGGACACGACGAACTTAAATGCCATACGATATCTTTGTGAGAAATGACAATCAAATGGATTTATTTAAGAGTATATATTTATATTTCTACAAATTGAGTTTCAGGGAAGCTCAGGTTTAACATCATAAACTGGAACAAGGCTGAACTAAGATATTGTGAAGGTGGACTGTGGCTGGCACAATTCATGCTGCACTTTCCTATGCTCTCTTTTTCTCTCCCAGTGCAGATGTCTCTTGGAGTCCCTCTTTACTTCTGTTTACCTCTCCCCTTCTCCCGGACCTTCTGCAGACTGGAACACACTTCCCCATGTCTGCCCTGTCTTCTGTCCCAGCTCCCCAAACTGCATCTTTTAACGCTGATCCCTTTCAAATAGTACATTTAGTTCAGGCTGCCTTTTTGGAGGGGTTTGGGAGGCAGGTTTCAAAAACTATCTGCTCATTTACCTCCTTTTTGGGTATGCTTTTACTCTATAACTACAATTTGTCTTAGGTGTTGTGGAAAGATAAGAATTAGAGGCCAAGAGAGATTTTAAAACAGGAAGAGAATTGGCAATGCATCCCTCTTACACGTGGAAATACAAATTGGCTAAGGAGAAGATGAAGGCTTCTTTTTGGGGAAACATTCCCATTTCAGTATGATGGATAATTCAACTATCCAATTGGTTGTGAGCTCATGATGAGATGATCCTGATTTCTGGTTTTCTTAGTAGGCTGCAGAAATTGCTCTTACATTTTTGTTTTGTGTAACATAAACATTTACCTTAGCCATTTGTAAGTCTGATTTGATTTTGTGGGTAGCCTTTGGTTTTTCTGTCTTAGATGGTAATCTTACTTAGAGAAGGAATCACTGCTGTTCATTGCCTCCTCCCCTCCTAACTGGAGTGCTCAACACAGTAATGTGTGCAAAATGGCATGTTCTCAACAGTTCCATGGTTATGATGATGCCAATGGCAAGGAATACGCTCCCAAAGACACAAAACAAAAACTAGTAGCATCTCCGTGAGATGTACACAATCAGAAAAACAATTCCATATACGAATAAAGAGATTTACCAGGAAGAGTCTTGTTTTCTATAAGTTGATACAACTAGTAGAAAAATATTTGTCAGTGGTAAATAGAGCAGAAATAGAAAAAGCAGTTAATTTATTAGATCAGATCAGAGTGTAAGGCAGTTATATCCGGCCAAAGGTGATAAGATAAAGCAGAAATAAAGTATTTGTTAACTCATGCATTTGCTGACTCATTTATTTATGCATGGATACTGTCACTTATAAATCAAATCTTATAGGTCAGGTTCTGTGCTAAGTTCAGGGGATATAAAAACAAATAAGTCAGGCACTCGCTCTCATGGAGCCCACAGTATAACTGGATAGATGGTTCTATAAACAGACAATGATAATAAAATAGAATGGCCACTCTGGGTAAATATAGGAACAAAGTGCTTGGAAACACAAGGTAGAGAGCAAAGAGAGAAATAAGAAAAAAATGAAGGCACTACTTCTATTCCAAGAGACTTCATGGGCAGCAGAATAGAGACACATGGTCAGAAGAGTTGACTTGGGGGCTCTAGATGTATCAGCACTGTATGTATATTTTATGAGAATTCAATGTCTTCGAAGAGACAAAAGGGCAAATGGTATATTAATTGGGACATGTCATTGAAATGAAAACACAGAGTTCTTTCCTAAAAACCTCTTGGCCTGCCCACTGCCTGCATCCCCACCAGTGCCTCCCTGGCCAATGTACCACTGGGCTCCTGCACTCCCTGCAGTGATTTCTCCGTCTGCTTCAGCTCTTTCTAATCTGTTCTTCATTCTGTGGTTATTGTAATTTCTCATGCTCTGTCTTAAAACCTTTCAATAGCATTCCATTGCCTTTTTCTTTTCTTTTCTTTTCTTTTTTTTTTTTGAGATAAGTCTTGCTCTGTCACCCAGGCTGGAGTGCAGTGGTGTGATCTTGGCTCACTGCAACCTCTGCCTTCTGGTTCAAGCCTCAGTTTCCTAAGTCATTGGAATTACAAGCATACACCACCACGCCTGGCTATCCACCGCTTTTAACAAACAAAAATAGAAACTTTTGTTTTAACAAACAAAAATAGAAACTTTTTTTTTTAAAAAAAGATATGGGATCTTGCAGTGTTGCCCAGGCCAGGCTCAAACTTGTGGGCTCAAGTGATCCTCTTGCCTCAGCCTCCTGAGTAGCCGGGACTATAGGTGTGAGCTGCCATACCTGGTCAAAATCTCAATCTTTGATCTAGGCTCAAAGGCCTTGTTTTGGTGCCTCCCTGCCTGTCCAGCCTCAGCTAGCCCTATCCCCACACCAGGTTCCAGTCACATCCTTCAGTTGCTTGGAAAGATCTGCACCCTCTACCTCAGAACCTCCGTACCTCCCGTCCCTCTGCCGCCCCTCTGCCGGGCTCCCCTCTCTTCTTCTTTCTCTCTTGAACTCCATCAAATTCTACTTGTTCTCCAGATTTCAATTCTACTAGAAATTCCTCAGAGAAGCTTTCTCTGACAAGGTTTTCCTCTTACAAGCTCATAACATGTTAGGATGAATCCTATAATATTGCTGTTTGTGTGGCTCAAAGCAGTTGAAAATCTGCATTTTCTTACGGTTCAATTGAATCCACATTACATTAGTTTCCTAGGACTCCTGTCACATGTTACCACTAGATCGTTAGCTTAGCACAATAGAGATTTACTCTCTCAGCATTCTGGAGGCTAGAAGTCAAACATCAAGGTGCCAGCAGGGCCATGCTCTCTCTGAAGGCTCCAGGGAAGAGTCCTTCCTTGCCTTTCTCTTGTTTCTCGTGATTCTCAGCCATGCTTGGAGGTCCTTGGCTTGTAGCTGTAATGCCCCATCCCTGCTTCTGTCTCCACGTGACCTTCTTGGCCTGTGTGTTTCTGTGTCTCTGAGTCTGATCCCACTCTCCTTTTCCTTATAAATGCCAAACACTGGATCATCCAGAACAATTAACTTAACTGATTACCTCTGCAAAGACTCACTTTCCAAAGATGGTCTTATTCTGAGGATCCAGCTGGACACACATTTTGGGAGAATGCCGTTAAACCCCCTACACGTACTGTCGTTTGAGGCTATATTGTGTGATCCCTTGAACAACAGATCTCTTTTCCCTGAGACTGTAAACTTGGTGAGGACAGGAACCGTGTAGGATCTGCTCATTATTCCAGGGCCAGTGGCTGGCATGGCGCTGGACACAAGGTGAGCTGAGCAAATATTCAGTGAAGGAATAATGGCGTTGATCAGGTGGTGGAACTCAACTCTAAACTAAACTCTCCAGCAGACGAATGGGAAATAAAAGATTTTAGATATACCCTGAAGTGTAGAGAGATAAACATAAAATATCTATTTATTGATTGAATAAATTTGTTGGTGTGGAGTATGTGTGTCCTTAGATTCACAGAAGAGAATAAAATTAGACTCCTGTGTTGTTTAACCTGAATGGCATCTGTCATTAACAAACTAATGAAGGTTGAGACAAAGTACAGATATAAACATTTTGTAGGCTGGGCGTGGTGGATTATGCCTATAATCCCAGCACTTTGGGAGGCCAAGGTGGGCGGATCACGAGGTCATGATATTGAGACCATCATGGCTAACACAGTGAAACCCCGTCTACTAAAAATACAAAGAAATTAGCCGGGTGTGGTGGTGGGTGTCTGTAGTCCCAGCTACTTGGAAGGCTGAGGCAGGAGAATGGTGTGAACCCGGGAGGCGGAGCTTGCAGTAAGCCGAGATTGTGCCACTGCACTCCAGCCTGGGGGACATAGCA